TTCGTTGGTGGACCAAACAAAACTATTCGATATCCTCATAATACTTCTGATTTAATTTATATTTAGTGAAGGATGCTTACTTGAAGTATTTTAAAATCATACTCTAAAAGAAACTAAACATCGATATTTCGATTAAACGAAAACACAGTTTGAAAATCTTGTTAACGAGGTAAGGTAAAGAAAATAACTTAAAGAGAAATATCCAATAAAACCCCAACCCTTCAAGGGCTAAAATTTGTCCTAGAAAAAATATTTACAAAGAAATACGCTATGTATTACTTTACATTTTGTATTTTTTAACAGAAACTCATGAATGAATGCTAATGTTAACAGGTGGTCCGTTGACTATTTCATTAAATGCTGTCTAAATTTCATGTGAAACAAAGAATCGATTAAGATCTGAAAACGAGTTTCGAGTAAATAACAATTTATTGCAAATAATTTTACATTTTTTTATATAAGGGATTCAGAGCATTTCACTATGCTTCGTAACATCACATCTTTGCTTTTGTAGATTAAAAATAAATCAATTATATTCTTTTATAAATATCGTAGTATTTTCGGCGATACTCTTTAAACATGATTGAGCACGTAAACTCATTTTAGTATCTTATAACCCTGATTGACACAATTATATTGGCCTTCGAGAGTCGTTAAATTTAATTACTGAACCGCCAATTGTCAATAATGATATTAATAAAACTCTACGCAAACAGAAATCCTCCCATCAATTCGCATATATGCGCATTTAAATACTGCTTTATACACATGGGGTGCCTGGACAATTTCATTTCTAATTTATTTTAACGGGCAATAAAAAGATTTCAGACAAACAATGATATTTATATTATTAAATGGTGATATATCAAAAGTTATTGTATTAAATACCATTCAACCTTTTTATTAATTTCAATCGTTGTAATACAGACTTAGTGATAGTGAATAATTACCGTGACAACAACTAATTTGTCAATATTGATGTATAACGTTTTAAAAATTGCCTCTAGAAAGTTCAGATAATCAAACAAAGTGTAACATTACGATCAGATCAGACATTATCTTCAGTTTCTTTCCAGCGGATATATATTTGCCCATTAAGGCAATAATGAATGGAAAATTCTGCAATTGGAAGTAATGGGAACATTCCTCTCTCTTGAAATTAGTGTTTTTCAATTATTAACTTTGGTTTTCCAGTCTTACAGGTAGGTTGAAATAAACTCACATTTTATTACGTTACTGAATGCTTATAACCAATTATATGAAAGACGTGGATTTGAAGATCACGTGCCAACATAAAACGTTGTAAATATCTGCATCAGCGAAAAATATATTATGGTTGCAAATAAATAATGGAAAGAAGAAATAAAATTTTCACTCGATCGTAAGTTTTTTCAGCGTCTAATTCCTACTTCCTAACCCATTTTATCATTTAGGCGTGCAGCGTTGATGAATTCTCATTGATCTCGCTTCAGAAATATGTCTAACTTTATTTTTTTCTGTATGCTCCCAATCGTCCGACAATTTTCTTAGGTCATATGCGATTTAGTGAATTCTTAAAGCAAAACAACATCATATGGCAGAATCAAAACTTTCTTTGTTTATGAGAGGTGAATTAGGAATAAATTTGCTCTTTCCTCCCATAAACGTAAAAAATTATGCCACCCGATTGCATCATGGGTCCTATTTACGCCCGCTATTTTCACATATTCACTAGTTTCTGCGAATATAATCTCTTTTTAATTCAAGCTAGTGCGAATGTGCTAGTAGTAAATTGAATTCAATTTCAAAAGTAACAGAGATTGAGGTGATTTCCAACAAATATTTAAAAATATTATCCACTTTATAAAACCCGAATATAAAATTAACTTTACCCTCTAATCATTGAAAAATATCTAACGATATTATTAAAATTATTGAAATATAAGTATCCGTGTTGAATGATCTGCTTTGGAAATTAATTTTACAGTATAATGTTTGAGTTCTCATTACATCCGAGTTGTGAAATACTTATGTTGATAGTTTCTTTCTAGCGTCTTTACATGAACTGTCCTACACCATATACCATTTATATAGGTGCTGCATTGGTTACTATCCGACTTAAATATTTATAAATGGATTAGAATGAATAGATGTTGGAGAATCTTATTACATAAATAATATATGTGAATAACATAAAACTTTGAATCCCTGATTAAATCAATCATCTCCCTAGAATTTTTTACACAACTCCCTTAAAACCAAACTAATCTTTTTTCGACTTGAGCAGAATTGATGAAATATACGTAGAAAGAATATACCCAATTACCTTGTACATAATAGATATTATCACTGATATTGAGTTAACGTCAGGGGGTCAATTTATTGCCAAAATTTTGATGAGACGAAAGAGTTGATGAAACCTAAACTTGGGTGGTAAATACTTCACCAGAAGTAGCATTGGTTTGTTTTTGTTTTACCTGTTGTAATCTCATTGACATGCTACAACGATATTGGAACAATATAATTGGATGTCTCTCCACTACGATACTCTACGTAAAATTTAGAAAATTCTCGGCCTACTAATCGAATAAAACATTTACCCGTAGATGGAAAATATCACCCTTTCTGTGATTGGTCAATAATTGCGTGAAATGCGAGTAGCCATTCAATTCGCAGATTTAAAATGATGACATTGAGAACTACATTCACAATAATAACTTTTTTAATCCACTCAGCATAATCAAATTTGCATGACCACAATAGCTTTCTATTTGAACAGATACCCGTATTTTTTTCCGACAATCGTATGCGTAAAGTTGTAAATGAGCATAAGTTGATTAAAAATTTGGGTTTGGTTATGCATCTTCTGGTGCATATATATATATATATATATTAAAAAATCTAACATCCTTATTACTTTTCTTTGAACTTTCCCTCATATGACTACTAATTAATCTTATATATCCATTGACATGTTACCATTTCCATAACATTTAATTTCATCAAATTATTATAAACTTAATTGACCAGGTAATTAGTTTAGTAGTGACATAGAAAAGATATTTTGTGTTTCAGCTAAGGCGCGTGAGATCGTTGGTTGAAGTAGAAATTTAATCAGTCCTGAAAGCAAGAGTTTTAAAACCTTCAATAACTTCTTAAAAAGTAAAGTAATGCACATTTTTCTCTCATTCATTTTAAAACAGTGGGAAAACAAATAATACTATCTAATAACTCATTATTTGAGTAGATTTTTCACGATCATTGAGATCATGCCTAGGACTATCTTCAAAATTTAAAAGGGATAAAAACAGAAATATGTGGGAAAGACTAGTATTGTAATATACCACGTAGTTCGACTGCCCCCTTTTCAAAACTATTTAAATTGTCAAATAAAGTTGTTTCAATTGACGTTTTATGAGCTGATAGGTTTGATCATGGAACAAGCATATTTTTAAAGCAAAACTGTTCATTTATCAATAAACACTTCGACTTTCTATTATACATTTGAATTATAGATTTAAAGTTGAGTTAAAATTTTTTAGATAAATTAGCTTAAATGGCAAATAATGTCGAAAATTATACGAGAACCAATATAAAAAAGCATATACTATTTTAATAGGTTTTACTTAGGCAAGCCCTATCACCAATCCAAAGCAAACTAATTCTGGAATTTAAAATGTTATTAACCCGTAGATAAGGATATACTAATCGTGCTTCATCTTTTGCGACTGAATTTGCATTACCAAAATTTATATACCATTTTCAACGACTTTACTTTAATTTTTGATAAAATAACGTAATTTAATTTCTAAGATCCGTTTTACACAATTTTAATAATGCACAATGCCTTTATCAATACGACGAATTAAAAAGGGTTCTTAAAGTGGAGTTATTTATCTACCTCGGATTAAGGCTCAATATATTTCTGATCAATGCTTTTCGAAAACAAGTATTACAATTGCTTAGAAACTTGATATCAGCTTTGATATTCAAAGTGTCTTTCCGTTATAGACCTGTTTGAACATTTTTGCGTCATTTGAAATTGAAAACATTTTTTGAACTTCAAAGAACTTGCAAATTCTGTATTTGATAATGTAAACGGAATTTGGCATAAATTTCTATATCATTATCATCGATCCCAGAAATGATGGATTTTCAGAATTACGTAAAATAGAAAATTATTAAAAACGGATTTATCATAAAACTAAAATCATTGCTTCAATTTGCCTTTTGGAAACATATGTATTCTGCTTTATCCAACGGGTTAGAACCATCATTGAATTCCCTTTTCGAATGGCTAATCCAGCTCTGCACGTATTAGAGTCAAACACTTTAGACTAAATTCAATAATGACAATAAGAATAAAATAACAACTTACTTGTAATAATAATAATATTATGATAACTGAAAATGTTAACTGTTATTCTGCATACTGAATTGGCAAACAACTGAAACGAAATATCAACTGTAATAAAATATTTACATAAAGATACTATCTATAAATGAGGTTATGGAATAACTAGGAGTTCCAGTAAATCTCTCTCATACTATTGTAAATATGAGATAATGAAAATATGAAAATACAAATTTGAAAGCCATAAACTTAATTTATAGTTCTAAGGAAAAGATAATAACAAATGCGCGGTGTTTTTAAATGGGTATTTGACTAACCTTGACCTAACCTCTTTTACCAAGGCAGAGTGGGCATTTTAATTTCCCGACGCACTGGCCTAGTTCGTGTGCGTTTAGAGTCTTTTAGCGTTATTGCCAATATTCACGTTATTTAAGAGTGCTACTTTAAGCACGAAAATTTCCTTTTTCTTTTCTCTGATTTCTTAAAGGAATTCTTTTTATTTGAATTTTAATGTCACCTTATTTTTTACACATATATCTAATCAATTCTACTAGCTCAAGCTTTAGTAAAATGCAAATTTCGCTACTTGACTGAAGTCGGTTGAAACTTTTTCTTTGTGTTATTTACAAAATCATTTAATCGTGTATTGGCATTTTAGATTTAACAAATGAATCCGGTTTTCCGAATTGTGATTATTTATGGAAGTCAAACTGGGAACGCTTGTGGAATAGCCGAGAAGCTTGCCCTCCAATGCTGCAAAATACTTCGATTGAGGAACTTTCCAGCCAATAGTCCTACATCGCTGGTTCATCTATGTGAGGCTAATAGCTACGTTCCCCTCAAACAACTTGCCAAAGAGACCGGCCCTGTTATTTTTGTCTGTTCTACAACAGGGTTTGGCGATCCACCTGATAATATGGCTTCATTTTGGCGCAAGCTTATGAATGTTCGCCTTCCAGAGGGAAAAACATTCCCAATATCCCTTCGCTTCGCCGTGTTAGGTATTGGTGACTCCTCGTACAAGCAGTATAACTTCGTTGCCAAGAAACTATATCGTCGGATGGTTCATCTTGGTGCCTCCCCTCTACCGGTTTCTATGGCACTGGGGGATGCAGATCAGGATATTGGCCTTGGATTGGCAGATGAATCTGCTCCAGAAAGTATAGTCACTTGCCTTCAGCGATTTGTGCCCTCTTTATTTAATACTATACTCAATCACTACTCCAATAGTGTACAACCGATCGGGTCGATATCGCTTCCAATCACCTGGGAGGGTCTAGAATCTTCAGAATTCATTGCCTCCCTACAGCCTAGGTTTATGGTTCGAAGAGTGAGGAAGATTGAAAGTGGGGATGTGAATCTCATCAATGGAAATCATTATCGAAATGAGGAGCTGCTGATGGATATGATTGAAACAACAATCTCTAGAGATAGTGCCCTTTTTAAAATGCCTGCTATGCCTTCGGAGGCTGGATGGTTTGTTGTCAAATCTAATGAGAGGATTACCCCTTTAAATTACTTCCAAGAAACGCGGCTTATTGAATTGGAGGCTGAGGTATGTATCCACTTTGCTATATGTTTTTGGAGTTTAACCTGACTAAAACACTTTAATTCGCAAGGAATTAATGGCTGCTACAATACTGTTTCATGTTGGTGGCAAAAGTACAAAAGCTTTTTTTTATATTCCAAATTTTTATGTTAGAGTTGACTATGTCAACGGGATGAATAAGAATATGTATGTGTTGCTTGAATAGTTTGGAATTTAGTTACTAACACTATGATTTGGTACGTAATTTATGATTTGATAGCTTTAAATCCTCCCACAAATTGATGTATCATATTTAGTGGTATTGAATTGTGTCATTGAGTCTCTTCCGTGCTGATGCGATATATATATATAATTCCAGTACTAATTACCAGACTCTATGGAGGAAGGTGGTTCCTAACACATCTCTTCGGTTCAATTAAGAAATCTTGACTTCGTCTTTGAATATCATTTGTCGGGATGAGGGATCATTTCGTTACCTCGATATGGACTTTATGTTTCACTTCGTTTTAGTATCGCTAAAAATGCTCTCTCATTAAGCTACTGACAATTTATTTATGATCAGAATAACGTGACTTCTTTGATGGTGGAAATTGGCTCGTATTTTAAGTGCAGATGGAGTATCACTTCTTATCACTATCTGAGATATGTATAATGTGGTCGTTTTTTGGGAATACGTACAAAGACTACGCAGGGAGCATGTCTTGATAAGGCCACGCTTTTGGGGATTTTGATATCACGCGCACATTTTTAAGTCTGATGCAACCCAAAGGAATACTCAAGACGCTTATTTGATTGCCATAATCTTAACAGACGCTAGCCCAAGACTGGGATCAACTCATTAGTCTTTTTGCAATTGGCAGCATTAATGAGGGCTGTCAAGCATTACTTGCTCATTCACGAACCCAAGAGTATTTTTATATTTAATTTTATTTTTTATTTAATGCTTAAATAAACATAAAATTTATTTTGAATGCACTAGATTTTGGTTAGTGTCTCATTAGTTTGTTTGTAAATACACAAATCAGGAGGTATTTATTTTTTCCTTTAAAGAATGGTGACTCCCAGCCAGAATTCCTTCCGGGTGCTGTCCTAAAAGTTCAGCCTCGAAATCTCGCTGAGGATGTACTGGCTTTCTTCAAAGTGACTGGTCTCGATCCCAACGTGCGTATCTCAGTTCGCAGCCTCACAAAGGAAATTCACCCCGGACAGCACATTATCTCTTTCTCACTTCCCGGTCGATTGGAGTCCGTCTGCGCCAGCGATGGCGTTTCTCTTGCTTGGCTAGCTGCCTACTACTTTGATATCAATTCAATTCCCACACGTTCTTTCTTTTCTGATTTCGCAGCCGCTCACAAATGGCGACCCACTGGCACTAAAGATGATGAACGTGTCGCTATGGAATATGACCGACTGAAGGAGCTTGGTCAAGCCCACACTCCTGAGGAAGTAGATGACTTCTATGACTACGTGAACCGACCCCGTAGAAATATTATTGAAGTTCTAGGCGATTTCCCTTTCACTACCTCCTTTATCCCTGCTGAGCAGTGGATTAATATTCTCCCCGGACCCCTCAGACCTCGTCCCTACTCTATCGCATCTGCGTCACCCAAGATTGAGCTACTTGTTGCTGTTGTCACCTATCGTACACGAATGCTCACACCACGCAAAGGCCTTGCGTCCACTTATCTAACACGATGTAAAGTTGGCACTCGTATTCCCGCATGGATTTCCCGACTATCCTATGGATTTGACTTCTCTTACCACCTCACCTCAAGCGTGCCTCGTCCCCCTCCTTGTGTACTCATTTGCACTGGCACGGGAGTTGCCCCCCTTCGAGCCTTTATTCAATACCAACGTAAATCCTTTCCTCGTGCCTTCAACGTTCTCGTTTTTGGCTGCCGATTCTCTAATCGTGATTTCTACTTTGCGAAGGAATGGAAGTGCCTAGAGGAAGATGATTGTCTTCAACTCATTACCGCCTTTTCTCGCGAGGGTGGAAAGATAACAACAGCTAAAAATCGAATCTATGTTCAACATAAGATTAGAGAGAACCCTGATTTGGTGTGGTCGGTGCTAGGAGAGGCCCAGGGAAGTGTCTTTATTGCTGGCAATGCACGGACAATGCCACTTGCTGTGCGGGAGTCAATCGTGGAAATCGCTCAAACTGGTGGTGGTTTGTCGGCCTATGAGGCCGAAACTTTTGTCAATAATTTGGAGAGCTCAGGGAGATACCAAGCTGAAGTTTGGATGTGATAGGTGTATATAAATACAAATATATATATATATATATATATATATATATACTTGCATTCACTATTGGTCTCTTTCTACTTAATTTTGTACAGAAAGATAAATATAAATAGACTATTTGCAAGCACTTCTTCTGCTTATCTTCTATTGTGTGCGTTTGAGGTGTATGTGATTACATACTACTTATAGGTTTTTCTTGTTTGTAAGTAGCATTATTTCTCCTTTTCATAGCCAATGAAATGTCAGCGTTCAAGGAAGGTTTATTATTCGGTTTGCGAGAGTGTCTTAATGCACCTCTGAGCCTAATTCTAATCCGTAG